TCACACCGTGTTCCAACAGACCAGGAAACAGTGCCGCCAGAAAAAAAATCAACAAAGCCTTTTGAGCCCGCGGCCAGCCTGAGGGCCCTAAACAAAACACGGAAAACTTAGCTGGTCAAGCATGTGAAACATTGTGAAACTATTCAAAAAATTTACTGGCTCTGTGGCAAAACAAAAGTAACAAACATTCCACTGCGGCCGCTGCCGCCGACGCCGTTGTGTTTTCATTTGGTTTGGATGTCCGCAGGAAGCGTTCGAAACAGCTGGTTATGGTTCGCGGCCCGCTGCCTCAATGAAAGAAGTCCAGAATGACAGTAGACTGGCCGTGAAGGTGCTGAAAATGTTGGTGCGCAGGTCCGTTTGTGGGGTTGCTGGAGCTATAGATTGGCCAACCGTGGCTTGGAAAATAATTTCTGATTCAGTTTGCTGCGGAACAAAGTATACCATGATATACCAACGTGATTGGCAGTACACACAGACACCACAGTACAGAGTTTTATCATTCATCACGAAACTTAAATTCAGGATATCCTACCCTGGCTGTGTGCCTGGTCTCTATCTCCTGCAGTACATTGTGGATCACGTTGTATTTCTCTAGGCCGGCGTGCCAACGTGTGCCAACGAGAATGCTTCAACCCTGTTGAAACAAACCCTGTTGAAAAGCATGGATGGCGAGGATGATGGTGCGTGGATGGTGGTCTTCATTCCCGTCGTTTAGACGAAATTGAGTCAGCTTGACTTTGCACTAGATTGAGAGCAGTCGTTTGTGATTTGTTCTTTGATGCTCTATGTTTTTGGAAGTCCTTCAGAACCTTCAGAATTGCTGGTTTACGAATCAGCCAGCCAAAGTTTAAGGGCAGCTGCGGCCATTTCTGAGTTTGTCATCACAAGAAACTACCAATCAACGGTAAAGTCTTTGAAGGACCCCAACATACCCCAACAAGACAACATCCTGAGGGGAACAAAAATGCGGATACAGTACGTTTTTTTCAGTTACTCATAAGTTGTGGAATTTCGCAGATTTGTCCCGATGAATCGGCCCGAACCACTCGACTCGAATGCTAGCGGATCCTATGAAGTGGTGTTCAATGTTTTGCTTCGTCCACCGCAATATGTTCCAAAGGACTTCCGTGGCAGATGTCATGTACTCAACTCAGGAGTTTCTCTCATCTGTGTGCAAAAGTGCGAGACTGGCTTTGGTGGTCATGTTGCTGTCTTTGTTATCGATTGTTCCTATTCTGTCTTTTCTTTGGGAGGCGTGTGATTTTGCCGCCTTTCCTCATGTCCCTTGAAGCTTTAGGCAGTATTCTTGCATCGAACAAGGCTATGGTACACTTAGACAGCCCTAGCGGCTCAGGGCCCTCGCTGGATTGTGGGTGGCACCATGTCGACTTCGCTCTGCCGCTTTAGGATGCGCTTGCAAGTGCACTTTCTGCACATAAGAGCTTTTGCTGCAAGAGGGCATCCCTGTGTAAGCACGCAGTTAGCCCAACGATACTCAAAAGCAAGGCCTTGTGTGAGATGTATAATCCTTGCTTGACCCAAGGATTGTGCGGTGCATTTCGATCAGCTTCCCAAATTGCACCCAGCTCAATTGGTGACGAGATTGATCCTACCAGGCGGTTTGCATCGACGAACCTATGTTTTGAATTTTTGAATATACTTTCAAACTGTGGGGTCAAAGAATATCCCACTCAGCCTGCAGTTGTTTACAAGCGAGTTTTACGCAGGCCCTTTGTAACCTGTGTTTTTCTATTGTATGTATACTTGCTTTGTAACATTCTGCAACTAGAATGTAATGTATACTTGCTTTTTAAGCAGTTTGTATTTGGAACAGTTAAACCATGTTAATTAAACCACAGGCTTTGTTCCAACTTGCCTTTTAACTGAAGCACTGCTTCAGCTATTGTATTATTGTTGCTCCGTCTTGCATTAGCAAGTGTGTCGCCTTGCCACCTATTGAGTAGTCCAAGCTTTTCACTCTTTGTAATAGGTGATTGACAAACAAACCTACATCATTATCTTCCGTTCTTAACGTGTGATCTACGCTAGCATGCATCCATGCCTCAAGCCCAGTTCTCCAGAACGGATCTCATACATCATGCCATGGCTGCCACGTGAGCATTTTAATGTTGCTTCCTGTTGCTTCAGAGTGCCTAGCATCAAACTGCTAACTGCTACATTTTGAGTCTACACATGCGCAGGCAACGTTGTAGGAAGCCACTATCATCTGTGGCACGCGGTACCCAGGATCAGAAGCCACCTTGCAAGTGCAAACGGGGAGTGACCCCAAGCTCACGAGCAGGTGATGGAGCAACAAATATCAATCGCTGTGTGCTTTGTACACACTTCCATCCGGAGAGACTTCCTGTAAAAATCGCACTTCAACTTCAACTGTGAAAAACAAGCGTTCTTACGATCCTTCCTCCAAATGTCACCCGTCAAGTCTCCACACCGAGCGTTCCGCGCGAGACAAAAGGAGCGTTTCGCGCAAGATTCACGTGTCAAGTAGCGTTTCGTCCCAGACTTCCTCCAAAAGTCACGCATCAAAGTCTTTGAGCGAGCGCTTCTTACCGAGACGTCCTTCAAAAGTGCCAATCACATTCTGCAGCCTGCCAAGCAGTTTCGTCCAAACCACGCCCGCTGACACTTCAATCCCACTGTCACAGCAACATTCACCTCCACCAATCGTCGCAACCTCACGATTCCCTCCACCTGCCATGAAAATTCAACTTCGATACCTCCAACACGCACAAAGTACTGCACTGCGCCTGCCAGTAGAAGTGAACCCCAATGTCACAGCCACATCCAACGTCTCTAACACACCAGTCTCGACACGCCAATCACAACCTCACAGCGAAGGAAACTGCGGATCTCACAAAACGCTGCAACTGCGCAGCAAAATCATCCTCCACACTTCAACTGGTTGCGCGTCCACACGTTTCCGGGCTATTTCACCGGAATCTGATACGTCATGCTCACTACGACAACGAACCGCGAACAAGACTCTACCCCCAGACCCCCAGAGTTAAACGAGAATCCTTCGCTACACCTTCGGGAAAAGCTTTTGCGGCAACTTCACGCACGCCTGTTCTACGTTCAACGCTGCAACGCAGCAACCCGCCAAAACCCAAGCACAAGAACTCATGTCCACCCTGGTTTTTCAGGGGCCTGCGCTCAAAGTGCAATTGTTGCAGTCTATCTTCGGCGCGGCAAGTCCACTAAGTCACGACTGGTGCACAAAAAGCAAAAGCACGAACACCCGCAAATCGTTGCAAATGAGGCGTTCGCAGCTTTGCATGCTTGGTGCATAATAGGCAACGCTCAACACCGGCGCCTTCACGCTAACAACAATCAAGTGCGCCCTTTGCACGCAACGCGTTGCTAACAGGCACTCGCAGCCCGCACCCCGAAATTGATCCTGTAGACTTGCTTGATCGCCGCTCACGCAAGCGTTTCCAATCCGGTCACTCATGTGGTGCGTGCAGCCTCGGACATTCAAGTTTACCCGAAGGCTCTCTCATTCATAGCTTTGTCCATCCAGCAGTTGACTGCCCAGACCTTCCAGATGGTCTTTGACGACATTCACCCGCAGAACAAAGTTGGCAGGAAGCGCAAACACCTGTTGGATGATATAATATTGACCATGTTTTGTTGCCTTCACTGTTGACATTGAGTGGCTCTCCTGTAAGCCGCCGCGCAACATGGGTGCTCTTCTTCTGACATATACTGACAAGCAATCCCACCCCCGTTTATCCACGCCCTTATGAGACAGTTTGAATTTGAATATAGTTTTGAGTGAGAACTTGGCGCCTGCGCTAATACCCCTTCAGCGCCTTTCGCGCGACTTCAACCCAGACCACAGCTAAATCCAGTTCAAAGGTCAAAAACTCAACTGAATCGAAACTCAGCAGCCCCTTACATTTGTGCATTGTGAGCAAGTGAGTGAATGAGTGAGTGGTTGGTGAAAGTTAATCAGTGAAAGTGGTGTAGTACTAGTAAGTGAGTGAATGTTCTGAATCTAAGTGAGTTGAGTTGGTGTGAGATCAGTTGGTGCAAGCTTTAAGCTGGTGAGGAAGGGGGAGGAGGAGGAAACAGACAGGATGCACCGTAAAAGTAAAAACTCAATATTGACACATAGTGAAACCATGTTGCGGTTTTGAACTACCTTCAGTACGTTCGCAGGCTTTGCAAAACAAATCCGAGGCGGAAAAAGCCAGCGGCATCATTTAACTAAGGCAATTTGAGGGCATAGAAGGTTGGAATAGTGCATTAAAATATACTACAATGATCTAAAATGTCACGACGTCATGTGGATCTTGAAGGTTGGGAAACCTGTGGCGCTGACGAGACATAGAACTGGTTCCGTCATTTTTGAAAGGCTGGTCGCAGTGCCCGAAGAACGCTTCCAAGAACTCGTGACGGCTGAAGTGGCGTACTTGGCCACTGTGCCTGTCAAGGCTGTTTCCATGCGACAGGCAGGGGGTGATGTCTTCTGTCTTCGTTTGTGAGATAGCTTATATAAATCCTCAGTCGTGAGACTGGTTTGTTCTGCCCCATTGGAATATCACAAATGTTGCCCCAATCAACTCCTGCTTGCCAGATTGTGACATGGCGAGATGCTCGTGACATGGTGTCCATCATCCAAAGGGAGGTACCAAGGCGGTTTGCTCTCAGGATTCGGCTGATCGAAACATTGGACGGCTGGCAGGATCAGAAGTGCAGAAAAAAAATGAGCATGTTTGATCATTGTCAGGGTTCGTTGTCATGGTGATTCGCACCAAATGTGTATAGTGGGGTTGAATAGCACTATTTTGTCTCAATGTGCGTTGAATATACTTGGGTTGAAACACTCGCCACTTTTTGGTAGGTCGCGCTGCCTCTTTTGTAGTCCACAGGCCATCCCTGAACTCGTGAAAATGCACCAGCGGCTGACAAGATGGTACAGAGATTTAGTATTGCTCAACTACAGCGACCCTGATATGAAGGAGTTTGTTGGCACCTTCAAGTCTATTCGGGAAGAAGGAAAGCATACCATTGCTCTCTCAGCATCTGGCATCTACAAGCTCCGGAAACGGCTGAACAAATTTTCACAGCAGGAGACGAACTTTTTTGATGACTGGCTAGATGGCTTCTTGCTTTCGAGGACCAGGATGGATTACAATGTGTGTAGAAGGTGTATGGACACCTTTGGGTTTTATGCAGTTGTGACCTGTCTCTCGGAAAGCCGTGGCCTGCTGATTTTGATACCAGAGAAATCAACCAGACTTAGTGTACTCTGTGAAATTACAATATAGACGGCAATTCAACACGTACAGTACTACTGTAGCACGGCAATGCGCAACATAATATATAGAATATTGTAGAACTCACATGTTTGGTGGCACTGCTTGAAGGATTGGAACCAACGCTTTGATTGATCAATTTGTTGCCATAGCAGCCAAAGAAGACGGAGGTTTGGGAAGACCAACCGGCATTACGGATCCACGTGACGAGCTCAGTTGGCTATAAACATACTACGAATATTGCGAATGCCAGGACAGAAAGTGGAGATAAGAGGTTGTGCTCAGTTGTGCTTGCAAGACTTGAAAGAGTTGATTGGAATTGCTTAGGTTGCAATGCGTCCAACATTTGTGAATTTGCCGCCCAAATCTCCTCATACATTTGCTACCAGCGATTTGGAAGAGAGCCGAAGTACATCGTCCAGGACTTTCAGGCATGGCAATCTGCAATGAAAACTCCAAAGTCAAGAGACCTGACCTCTAGAAATCGAATCAGACACCATAGGACTCCTTTGCCTAATCGAGAAATTGCATGAAATTGCTGTATGAAGCAATTGCTTTGCTGGAAAAGCATCTACTTTGGATACATTTTCCAATATGGCTCATGTTCCAAAGCGAACATGCCAAGATCGAGGCCTCCCAAGGCTTCTATCCGGAAGCGAACGAACGGATCACCTTCAACTTCGGTTGATGATCGACATAATCGGCGATCAAAGACCAGCAACACCTCGCAAGCACAAACCTTGGAAGCACTGAGAGCGGGACCAGTGTCAACATGAATATATGTTTAAAAGAAAAATGACAAGTTGATCGAAGATCACTGTTTGTCACGGAACGTTCCACAGGTGGCGGCTCAAGACGCCCTTTTCTCGGTGAAGGGGATTATACGCCGCCATGGACAATGCAGACGCACTGGCCCTGATCTGCAGCCTTGCTGGCTTGGCAGGTCGGGAGATCAGTGCGTTAGAGCGCGCGGGGTGGACTATGACGAGACTAGCCACCCTGAGAGGCTGCGATGAGGCTACACTCCGCGCAGTGGTGTGGCAGGCAGCGCCATGACGAGAGCTTCGACCTTAGCTTGAAGCGAATGGCAGAGGTGGTGGATCGAGCCGCCACGCAGGCGAAGACGAAGCATCTCTGGGATGCCAAGAGGGGGTCTCAAGACCTGTTGGACGCTCACGTGGCTCATCAGCGTGAGCAGCGGAGAAAGACCCTGGAGTCGGTGATCGCGGACGATGTCAAGTCCAAGGTGCAGCTGGTGGGTTCGGCCAAGCGTACGAGGTGGCCAACACGACTGAGTCTAAAGCTGCATTTAGCCTCAAGCGATCTGGCGCTACGAGAACGCGCAGAAAAGCAAGAGAGAGAGAGAGAGAGATGGGTGAAGGAGATCAAGGATGTGGTCAAGCAGGCCAACCTGCCAGTGGCACGACGGTCAGGGGACGAAGCACTTCTGATCTGTGTGGTGAAGGGCAGACGCCCAAACACGTTGAGGAAGCACGTCAAAACGTGGGCCAAGGTGTCGAGGTGGCTGGAAGCAGCCTTTGGTGTGCCGTGGCCTCGGTATACCCAGAGCAGTTCGCCAAGTTCATCGAGGCCATGGTGGAGGAACCGTGCTCGCGCAGCTTCCCTGAGTCTGCATTCAAGTCCCTGATGTTCTTGGAGCACGCAGGCGAAGTTCCGGAGGGCGATCAGGTTTGTCGCGCGCCTTCGGTGAAGAATACGCTGGAGGAGGCATCCCTCCGCTTGCAGACTGTGGAGTTGAAGCCTGCGAAACAGGCCTTGCTGCTGCCGGTCTCCATCGTGATCGCATGGGAACAGCAGGTTTGCGATGAGTCTGCAAAGAACTATGATCGCATCTATGCCTGGTTTCGTCTGGTGAAGCTTTGGTCAGGCATGCGCTTCGATGACACAAAGGGGGTGCCGAATCGTACGATGGAGCTGACTCACTTGGGCTTGAAGGGCGTGATAAATCGCTCAAAGACCTCGGGTCCAGGCAAGAGAATTGTTCTCTCGCCGTTCTATGTCAGCAAGGATGCCTGGCTCAATGATCGTTCCTGGTTGAAGGAGGGCTGGAAGCTGTGGAATTCCATGGGGGTAGAATCGGGGCTACCCACCATAGACTTCATGCTGCCGGGCTTTGTCAGGAAGGTGGTCGACTATCCTATAGCTTCGGCAATGTCGCAGGCCCTCTTCAACCAGCTCACCACCGGAAAGGGAGACAACAGGGCGCCGTTGCTGAAGGGGTTTGGGCGCCCTCTGGACCGAGCATATAAGCGGGCAACAATCCGCACTTGGGCGCAGGCTGGAAGGGTGCCCGAGGATGTGAGGAAGATGATTGGACGCTGGCGTCCCTCAGCAGACGAGGGCTATGAGCGGAACGTGAGGATCAATGTCCTGAGATGCCAGAGGACGTTGGCAACGTTCATCAGGGAGAATGTCTCGAACTCAGATCCATTCGACGAGACCTCTGTGACCCAGTTAGTTGAACAGAGGATGAACGATGTCGGGTGGCGACAGGAAGACATCGATGGCAGCTGATGGTCCTCATGACCTTCATGCCGGGCAAGGGAGCTGCCAATCAGCGCAAGGCCTGACTGGACGACGACGGGCCAGTGGTGGAGGACGATGCAGATTCCGAGAAGGCTGCCTCGCCAGCTGGAGCTCCAATGGTCGATGACAGCGAGGCAGAGGAGGAAGCGGGCGAGCAGCCGGCAGTGACACAGCTAGAGCGAGTCTCGGGCATGTACGTCGTTTCAATTGTCGGTCGGTCAAAGACCAGGACCTTGCATAGAATAGTATAGCCTGGGCTCAATTATGCCTGCTTCGAGGTGCTGGGGGAGGAGACCCCAAGCACAGCGATGTATCATCGCGCATGTAGACAGTGCTTCTGTGGAGGGGACGCAGAGGCAATGAGCGCTCTTGGGGATGACACCTCAGGAGAAGTTTCGTCGTCGGAAATGACCGATAGTGAAGAGGACAGCACAGAGTGAAGAGAACGTGTACAGGTGATTCGCTCTGTGGAGACATGGCACCCGCACAGTGCAAAGTGCAGCGTGAGAGATCGAAGGGTCGTGAGCTAGGAGATGCTGCACTGAGATGGTTTGCGTTTTGTAGGGGGAATCCAGGACAGGGTCGAGATATCTAGGGATGTGTTTCGGCTTCGACTCGGTCGAGTTTGTCGAGAGTTGTAAAAGGCATACAGGTGGTACTGGCAGGTCTGACTGATCGTAAGTTGCCTTTGATTGGCATGTTTGATTTGCAGAGTTGAGCGCGCGGCAGGACGGAGGAGTGCCGAAATCTTTTAGGCTTAAGGTGGGCCACACGGAACGCGGCGGCGTAACGGTGGGCCGTCGCGGAGCGCCCGAGAGGGGGGGCAAGGCCGTGGTAGACATCGGCCACGACACCGAGGAGAGAAGGCGCAACGCCGTGGCGCTTCTAGATGCTGACCTGCGCGGTCTCTTGAAGCTGTCGGTGGCCAAGGTCAGAAAGCATGAGCAGGATGAACACAGTCGCGGACGACGGGGGGTGGCATGCGCAAGTTCTGTGTGGACGTGCTCGGCTTGGACGAGGCCAGAGATGTGGTGGAGGTGGCTTCACTCGTGGATGCTTGGGAATCTGCGAGTACAAGGATCTCCATCAGGAACCAGGCGGAAGCAGAGGCAGGAGTTGCAAGCCTGCCAGGCTCTCAACAAGGTGGAGATCCAAGAGCTCTTTGTCAGGTTTCAGAAGGTGCATGGAATCAAGCTGGAAGACAGAAACACACCAGCGGCATCCACCTTGGAGCAAATCTTCGATCAAGTCGAACAAGGTGAGTTCAAGAATATGAGCCTGGTTCAATTCCTGAGCCGGGAGGACGCTGAAGCTGACGTCCTGGGCGCCACCGTTGAGAAGGGGACAGGCGCGTTGAAGATCAAGAAGGGCTATATGGAGAGCGCCAGAAGCCCAGGTCGCCTGAGGAATTCAGAAAGCGAATGTTTGCGCATTCGTTCTTGCTCGCTCAGCTGAAGTATCCACAGAAAGCAAGCCTCCGTGATCTTCAGCCACGGCATTTAATTTCCTCAAATATTTGGATTTGATGCTTGGTGATCATGTCCTAGGTTTGAAGGCAGTCAACAAAGATGGGGAGGTGTCCGTCAGGAGTCTTGTCGCGGATCTGACGACCCTTCTTCCCTTTGCTCTTGCCTCCCTTCTTGCCTTTGCCTTTCCCTTTAGGGTGATCAGCGCGATCTTCATGCCATGGATGCCAAGCTTGAGGCGGGCTCCTCGACCGCGCATAGTCTCCCCGGCTCGAGGTAGTGCTGCTGGTCACTTGAGAGTATACATTTGGTGTAAGGAAATATTTTATCTCCTTTATAGTGGTATCGGTCATCGCCTCCTTGAGCGCTACCACCATATTTGCTCCTTCGTTGACCAGCTTCACCATCTGACGACGAACCTGGTAGTCATAGGGCAGGACGAGCTGGAAGTGGAACAACCCAAGGGAGCGTTGCAGGTTTCAGTGCGGGCGCCTACATGTCTGTCAGGTGTGCTTCGGAAGTCATCCGACGCATGCCTACAACGGCTCCGGGAAGAAGGACACGGCCGGGTCAGCGGGGCAAAACGCAAAGCGTTCATAGCCTCATTTCTACAGCAGCTGGCAGATGGCACTGGCATACAGTTTCACGTGCGTGATGAGTGGGACTTAGCTGACAAGTCCCTACAAGAGAGGTTGTTGCGAGAGCTGGCACAAGGTCGATACCATGTGGTGTTGATCACACCTCCGTGCTCCACGTGGTTCCGAGTGAGGGGAGCAAACTGCAGGGGGCCAACCATGGTGCGTTCTCGAGCGCGCCCCTCAGCCTTTCCTTGGCTGTCGAAGCGCCACCAAAGAGACGCAGAGCTGGGAAACGCGTTGATTCGCTTTATGATTGAGGTGTTACATATTCTGGACAAACACCCTCGGGCACATGATGGTTCGCTGGCGCTTGTCTTCGGGGAACACCCTGAAGACCTTGGCGTCATATGGCGCGAGGAGGACAACGTGGAGGTTCATCCTGCATCTATTTGGCAGCTGTCGGACATAAGGCAGTGCGCACAGCCGCGCAACAGTCTGCTGCTTCACACCGTCGCCTTTAACCAGTGTTGTTGGCGTGCTCCCTACAGAAAGCCTACTCGGCTTTTGACCAATCACAGCCTTGCTGCTCTGGGGTCCTCATGAATGGCCACAGTTCGACGAGCAGGGCGTTTACACGGGCCCACTGGTCGGTGTGTGTCAATGCATGCCCGCAATCTCCCTTGCTCGAACTGCTGCCGATGAGACATCCATTCTAGATGACCTGAGGGCCGCAACCTCTTCTGCTGAAGTGGGGGTAAAGAGGAAGAGGCAGACGGCTATGGAGGGCTCGGTGGACAACAGTGCAACATTGAGCAACATTGCTGGCGGTGGGGTCTCAGTGGACAACAATGCAACATTGAGCAACATTGCTGGTGGTACGGGATTGAGCAACGTTGCTGGTGGTGCAACATTGAGCAACATTGCTGGTGGTACGGGCTCCTTGAACAGCAGTGCAACAGGTCTCTGCACGACGGGGCTGGCCTGTGCTCACCAGGGCGGTGGCCGGCGGGGAGGCGGCTGGCTCCGGCTTCTGATCTGGGCAAAGAGCTTTCCAGGGTGTCTAAAGTCCTTTGAGGACTGGATAGAGCTGGAGGGCGAAGAGAAAGCCAAGAAGATCTTCTGGTCCCTAGCCGCGGGCAAGCTGGAGGGCAACCCCTTTGGCGGAGAGGTCTGGGGCTTCAGGAACAGGCTGGATTTGTGGTTGAAGGAGAGGGGCCTCGATGCCGAGAGAAAGTCGGGAGATAGGCTCGCCGAGATAAACTTCCAGCGCGTCAGGGCTGCTGGGAGATGAGGGTTTTGACTTCCTGGCGGGTGTGGCCGAAAAGGGCGTGATGCTGGGGGTTGATGAGGAGATGCCCAGGACACCGCTGGTATATGAGGTGGATCCCACCGATGAGGACTTCCAGGACAGTTTGGCCGAGAACTATGTTTCGGCGGAAGAGAACGCTGCTGACATTTCTAAGCAGGCGCTGGCCGAGGTGGAGAAGGGGACCATCTTGCGGCTGTCGGAGTCGGACTTTCCTTCCACTTGCCAATTGTGTGACGCCTCCTTTTCGCGCCTGAGCTGCATGTGTGAGGCTCATGCATGCATAGGGCCCTGCACGCTGTTGTTTATTAGTAGCAAAAAATTCTATGCTTTTTGCTCTTCCTGTGCAAGTATTTAGCCAGGGGGTTGACATGATAAAGGCTGCAAAGGCTATCTTTGCTGCCTTCAGAATTTTGCGGAGCAGTAAGATTTGAATCTTGAAAGTATATATTTGACCAGGGGTTTGACATGATAAAGGCTGCAAAGGCCATCTTTGCCGCCTTCAGAATTTTGTGGAGCAGCAAAAGCTGAATTTTGCTAACTTTGTTGTTCCCAGAAGTTTTGGCGCAGTCAATCTTGCTACCTACTTTGCTGTTCCCAGAAGCTTTTTCACGCAGTGAAGTGAAGACTGAATCTTGCAACCTTTGCTGCTCCCAGAAATGCTTTGGCGCAGTCAATCTTGTTATCTTTACTGTTCCCAGAAGCTTTTGGACACAGTAAAGACTGAATCTTGCAATCTTTGCTGCTCCCAGAAAAATTTTGGGCACAGTCAATCCTGCTACCTTTGCTGTTCCCAGAAACTTTTTCACACAGTAAAGGCTGAATCTTGCAACTTTTGCTGCTCCCAGAAAAACTTTTAGCGCAGCAGATCTTGCTAGCTTTGCTGTTCCCAGAAGCTTTTTCACACAGTAAAGACTGAATCTTGCAATCTTTGCTGCTCCCAGAAGTTTTTTTCGCACAGTAAATCTTGCTACCTTTGCTGTTCCCAGAAGCTTTTTCACACAGTAAAGACTGAAGCTTGCAATCTTTGCTGCTCCCAGAAAATTTTTTGGCACAGTCAATCTTGCTAGCTTTGCTGTTCCCAGAAGCTTTTTCGCACAGTAAAGACTGAATCTTGCAATCTTTGCTGCTCCCAGAAAAACTTTTGGCACCGTAAATCTTGCTACCTTTGCCGTTCCCAGAAACTTTGTCGCGCAGTGAAGCCTCAATCTTGGCAACTTCGCTGTTTGCGCGCCGTTATGTGGCCTTCGTGCACCTCTGCTGCCCCAGCCAACTCCAGTCTATCCAGTCCGCGAACTGGCCACTAAGAAATTGTCGAAACTGGCCGCGCCCTCCGTGCGAAAATTGTGCCTCAGTTCGTGCTTTTTTTGTTGGTGCACAAACAAAGGCGCCAAAAATGCACCGCGACTTTGGCCAAATTTTTCTGTCCAGTTCCACGTTCTAGGGGTCCCAGGTCCAATTTTTTGCACGCATCCTTCGTGCAAAAAACCTGCCTCAGTTCGTGCTTTTTGCGCGCACTCTCCGTGCGAAAATGGTGCCTCAGTTCGTGCTTTTTGCGCGCGCCCTCCGGGCAAAAATGGTGTCTCAGTTCGTGCTTTTTGCGCGCGCCCTCCGTGCAAAAATGGTGCCTCAGTTCGTGCTTTTTG